AGCCCCTGAATTTGGACACAGCTATAGCTAATGCTACATCACCATATATACCAGCTTGGGCGCTAAAGTGAACGCTAACAGGCTAACCTGCAAAATGTAAGAACAGTGACCTAAATAACAAAAAAACGTTAGTGGAAATTTTAGATGTTACACTTAGAAAGTGAGCTAAATAATGAAAACGTGTTTGTGACATTTTTAACACTYGCTGAACATTTTAAAAGCATTCAGTCTTTCAGCAGATGATTTCCATGAGAAACGTTTTTTTGGARGACTTACAAGAGAAGCCCTTTTTGTTCTGTGATTTCTTGATMTTTCCATCCCTTCGACTTGTTCCTCCAGACAGGATGTTCTCAGCAGGAAACCGAGGACACGACAGACCTGACCAGGGTGTATTTCTGGCAACAATCAAAGTTGGCCAGCTGGCGCCCAGCAGAGGGACTGTGTGTCAGGAGCACTGCCCATTCACTCTCTGTCTCACTTGTAAAGACACCAATTAGGGTAAAAGCTCCGTGGATCTTCCCTCGTTCACCTTGAGAATGTAACACCTGGAGCCGGATATAACGGTGTTGAAAAGCAGCCAGCTGAAATCCATCAGGCGTCTGACAAAATCAATTAATACACTCAGCCCTCGTGGTTGTGCAAACTAATTCAGGAGAGAAAAAAGCAGTGAGGATCAACATCCTAACTGTTCTCATTTAGAGGAAAAGACAACTTTAACACACTGTTCTCCTTCATCGACCCTTATTAATACATTTTGTTCTTTTATTAAGTCATTTCGCAGTTTGCGCCCACATTCYCTCAGCCCTTCATCCTCTTCAGGTAGTCATTTATTTCTTCAGAGCTGCTTCTGACGAAGGGTTTTGTTCTCTCTGCAGCTTGTCACACATCAGCAGTGGCCAGAAGAGTCAGGTTTTCTCCAGGGATGGTTTAGATCAGGGATATTCASCTAAATTGCTCCGGGGGCAACCGTAGCACAAAAACGGCTGCACCGGTCAACATGAAATTTGGCAGGACTGTAGTTGAGTCTGACCTACACTGCAACAGCCAACGGTTTTACGATAGACCCCAAATTTGAGGAGGGGGCTCCTTTCAAAGAG